TTTCATTAAAGAAGAACCCGTCCAGAAGACCTATACAATTTTTTTTCCTTTGACTATGTTTTAATATTTGATTAAATTATTAAATTAAAGACCCCTATGATGAGCACAATAAATGGAGTCAGTGTTCCGTCGCCCGGACGCGGGTCATCGGGGCCCCACTCTGGAGCCAGGCCTGGAGGTGGGGCACGCTGGCGAGCGCCTGGTGGCTCGGCTTTAACCCATGGAGCCCGGTCGGGCACAGACCGAAGAGGAGATGCGGGTCCCCCTTCCCATGGGCTCACCACCTGTGGGAGGGGCCGTAGGGGTCGGGTGCATTGTGTTTTGGGCAGTGGTCGAAGGCGGGGACGTTGGCGGTCCGATCCTCGGCTACAGAAGCTGGCTATAGGGACGTGGAATGTCACCTCTCTGGTCGGGAAGGAGCCTGAGCTGATGTGTGAAGTTGAGAGGTTCCGACTAGATATAGTTGGACTCACCTCGACACACCGCTCTGGAACCAGCCTCCTTAAGAGGGGTTGAACACTCTACCACTCTGGAGTTGGCCATGCTGAGAGGTGCCGAACAGGAGTGGGCATATTTATTGCCCCCCATCTCAGTGCCTGTACGTTGGAGTTCACCCCGGTGAACGAGAGGGTAGCCTCCATCCGCCTACTGGTGGGGGTACGGGTCCTGACTGTTGTTTTGTGCCTATGTGCCTAACAGCAGTTCAGATTACCCCCCCTTTCTGGAGTCCTTGGAGGGGGTGCTGGAGAGCGCTCCTAATGGGGACCCCCTCGTTCTGCTGGGGGACTTCAACACTCACGTGGGTAATGAGTGAGACCTGGAGAGGCATGGTTGGGAGGAACCCCTCCACCATCTGAACCCAAGTTATACTAACTGGGAGACCTGAATCAGTGTATGAAAAGCTCATTTACTCTGATCAGATACATAATTACGTTACTAGATACTCTTGTGAAACAAAATTAATTGTAAATCATGCCAAAACAAACTTGCTACAAAAATCAGTAGTTTATAGAGCTATTCGAGAATGGTTACCTAAAAACATTAGATATCTAAAAAGCACATATTCTTTTAAAAGAGCACTTAAATCTTATTTGTATTAAATTCTATTTTGTCATTATTATTGGTTTTATTTTGTTTTTAATTAGGCTTATGGTTGTAATTTCATAAAATGTGGAATTTGAATATTTTCATGTATATTTTATGTCATAATTTTATGTGTTGTAAAAATATTGTATGTTATATCTGTTGGACCCCAGGAAGATTAGTAACCATCTTGGTGGAAACTAATGTGGATCTTAATCAATAAACAATAAAAAAAATGAGTCAAAGTAAGACTCTGGGCATGTTTTTGATGAGAGGATAACATTATAACATGAGATAAAACTCAAAAAAGTTGATTTTACATGATACAGCCCCTTTAACGCCTCTTAAAAAGTGCCTGTGATGTCAAATTTTTGTAATATATATTAATGCATTTTTAGAAGGAGGACATTGATAAAATACTGCAAAAGAAATTTCATGTCGCTGAGATGAACAGTTGTTGAGATATTTCCCTGTGAAGTAACAGGAAGTGATGTCAAAGGGGAATGTCTGCATGTGAACTGAGCGTTGCTACAACACCAACATCACAGACTGTAGAGAAGAATCTGATGTTTCTTAAGATTATTTTGAGTCTCTATCAGAGAGATGAAGAAGAGTCAGAGTTCAAAAAATATTGTTTCAATAAACAAAGACCAGAGAGTTTTCTTTCTTAAAGAGTTCCCCTATGATGTCACTTCCTGTTTCACTTTGGCTGAGCCAAGTTCAAAAGAAAATATGCCAGTTATGTGACAAAATGGGTTAAATTGTGCATTTAATTCCAACTTTCTTAAATATAAAGATGTTTTCTTTGACTTTTTGTATTTGAAGAATAAGCATGTCACAGGCACTTTAAGAGCATATGGTACTATTGAAGACCAAATAGTTTTTTAAATTTCACATAGTTTTATAGTTCAAATTTGTTTTTTTACAGTCATCACTTACCGCACAGAGAGAGTGAAGTCTCCTGGGTTACTTTTACTGGGTCTGGCTAAAAAGCTCCCATCTACTCCTCGAGTCAACAGGAGGTTTTCTGCCTCAACACCTGTGATGTTAGGATGAAACCACCTAAGGAGAAAAGGTTTTAAAATAATTCCATTATATTATATACAGATAATTCAAAAATCATTTCATCTTGTTAAAATGCAACACTTGAAGCATTTGGACCTTGTTAAATGTTCAAAACATGAGTTTATTTACCGTATTTATCTGTGTATAATACAATCTTGAGTGTAATGCTGCGTTTACACCAAACACGATTTGGGCATCAAAAATATTTCAAGTTGTATGCTTGTGCAGTTTGAGGTCAGACGCTTGTCAACATAACTCTTAACATACATCACATGCGTCAAGCTTGGAGAAAAATAAAATAAAGTAAGGAATCACTAACATTATCAGCCGATTCTCCACAGAACTTAAAGATAACAGAGGCGACTTTTGTTTACAAAAATTTGCGCTCCTACGTGGTAGCAAAAACGAAGCAACGAGCGGCTTGTTAGGTGCTTGAACCAAACAACAGTATGTAAGCATCTGAAACTGTCCACCACAGCACGAATAACTGTGTGAAAGACAACATTCTAACAAAATTGTTTAGTTTTGTTACCAATATTACTATTTTTAAACTTTAAGAAACATCTTAATGAAATTCAGTGATGAAATGTTGTAGTTGTATTTGTTTTAACAAAGTATAAGTAACAAGTTTTAATAAATTATATGAACATAACAGAAGCTAGCAGAAACATTACAAATAAACAATTTTCATACACTCAAAAGGAGTAGGAAGAAGTATATTTATATTAGCCCACCCCTTCTCCTGCAATCTTATTCTATCACTAATTTATCAAGAAAATTATTAATTTCTTAAAATTGAATTCCTCCAACACCGTCACCTGCAATTTCTTTTTAATTTAAAACTTTTAAACTTGTGACAGTTTTCCCACAAGATTAAACTGTTTAATATAAAAGTTTGTCCTTATGGTGAAGAGAAAAAAATAGGGATATTGTATTTTGCAACACAGTTGAACCATCCATCCATCCATTTTCTGTACACGCTTCTTCCTTTTTTTTTTTTCAGGGTCGTGTGGGTCACTGGTGCCCATATCCAGCAGTCACAGTGTGAGGGGCGGGGTACACCCTGGAC